GACGTGAACATGGAGGCAATTTGAAGGCTAATTTAAATTCGATTGGATGGACTGATGCATTAACGACTTTTACCCAATGAATAATCCACGACAAGAAAGCGACTGGTGCGACATTTCTACAACGTGTAAGCTGTCACTATTACCGAGAGATTAACCGTCAGTCATATGAACCGACGGGAACCGATTTGCAATTTTACAAAAAAAAAAACTACGACATTAAATTGTCGATTATGCTTCGGTAATTAGATGTTGTTGGAATTTCAATTGATTCTAATATTACTGACAAGTGCTTTACCCAATAGCTTAAAACCATCAAAATTTGGCCGTTAGAAAAGCTTTTATTCCTGTAGTGGTAAATAAAAAATTACTTAGAAGCACAATAACACTAATTTTTATATTTCCATTTATTGTCCTAGGTTTTATGATTCCTTATGGCTTAAAATGAAATAGAAAGCAAATTATTGTTAGAATAAGAAGATGTCTCTTCTTTCAAATAAATTACACTATACGATTTTTTTTATCAATGAATTAATGACACTTTTCTTTAAAAATTATCTAATAATATAATATTCTCTTGATCCAACTGTTTTATTAATGCATTGTGTGTGAAATGATCAATAACTATAGTCGGTCTTCATCCTCCACCAACAAAATTTTAGCTACTTGCTCTCATCACATTCAAAATATCACCATTATTAACTCCACACTTGAATGCATTTGACACCCTAATGTTGGCTAGTGTAAGCTTCTATGGCTCATACAAATATTGATCTTAATCCCAGATGTGTCCTCTGTGGTGCTATCAAGATGAAACCCATTCATATCTATTTCCTTAATGTCATTTCTCCTCATTCTTTTAAGAGCTTGCATCCTATATGCTAACTTATTTTATATAAGTTGCAACTTATTTCAAGTATTGATTTATGGAGACCTCTAAGATGCAATGTTTGTCTTTCTCTGAAAAGCATTTTGCACTCTTCGTTCTTGTCTCTGTAAGTTGGGATGGCTTCATATTACCACTTTTGTGAATCTATAATTGCAACATATTGGACCATAGAATAAAATAAAATAAAATTGTGTCGAATATAATATGTTTGAATTTAGCCCTTCATTTATGTTGTGAGATATGTACTTCCTGGCATATAAATGAGACGAAAAAGAACACAAGCAAACACAGATCGTTTACGTGGTTCGATCCAACTGGATCTACGTCCACGGGAGGGAATCAATCAAATATTTCACTAAGGCAAAAGAAATGGAGAATACATAGCTTATACATAGAGATGAGCCCTCATCTTCCTTCTACGACCTCCCTCTCAAGCGACACCTTGATACAAGGCCTCAAGATGCTCTCCTCCTCTCTAACTCTATAGCTATTCTCTCCTCCTTTGTGGTAGCTTAAGATCTCCTCTCCCTTGCTCTCCTAGGCCTC